TGCTTTTGGCTGGGTCCGGAGTATATATTGTGGAAGGAATAAATTAGGATGATTATGCAGTATGTATGGTGTTTGGGGAATGGTATCATGCCTTTTTGTGGATGATGATGGTTTATTATGTGGAAAAGATTGCAATAGGTTATTGATATTTATGTGGAAAGCAACCATGCTCGAAGCAGGATCTGCTGAGATCAAAATCTTATCTGAGAATACCTTGGTATTCTTATCTGTTGCCATAGATTGTTCAACTTCCATGGGAAGTATATCTTGGCCATCACGGGATTTCTCCTCGCGATAATCTAGTAACCTTTCCTCATGATGAGGGATATCTTGTATTTTAGCCCTTTTTTCTGTTATCTTTTGATCTGAGGGCACGAAATTTTTGAAATAATATGCCAGGCCATTTAAGGCATGAGCTTTTTCTTTTTTGTTTTTTGTTTGCCACAAGAGGTTTAATAACCCTTGTTGTAGCTCTGTTATTCTGAAATTGTGATTAAATCGTTCTCCATGGCCTCTGGGCAGTTGGGGCAGTCTCCATGAACTCATATTTGTGAGCCATTCAGACTTCTGTGAAGCCATTTCCCTGCATATATATTCAAAATCTTTAGTAGCTTTTAATAAATATCTATCTTCCCATGATGTCTTACCTGGCAATTCCATAGATTTTGGAAGATATGATGAGAAAGAATAGTTGTCTATATTCTCACTAAGCTCATATTCATTAATTCTTTCTTCAGACTCAAGATTAGGTACTTCTAAGTTGTCGAGTTTGGGGGAGACTCCACCACACTTTCGTACCTCTGAGATATATGGAACATTATTTTGATATGGGATAAAAGTAATTCCTTGCTCATGTATTACTGTGGTTTGTACTGATTGTTGAAGGAACCTTAGGCCAATTATCATGTCATCATTAATCATTGACAAATCTCTTATTGTAATCTCATCTATTATATATTTAGTTGCATTAATGTAAACCTCCATATTATAAGCTAACTGATTATGAATTTTCTTTATTCCGGACATGTCTGTGGAAACTTCTGCCTTATTGTCGTCAATTGTGTGAACTATTTCAGGACATCTTGTGAAATATTTGTCATGAATAATATTCTTTGTACACCCAGTGTCTACTAGTGCTAATATTTTATAAGATACTTTGGGTGTCAATTTTACTTTAACAGGGATTCTTATACCTAATATTTCTTTGAAAGGCAATCTTACTATATATTTATTTCCAAAATTAGTTATGGCATCTCTTAGTTGAATTATTTTAGCAGTATTACTGTCTTTTAGTGTTATCAATTGCTCTTTAAATTCGGTGTTTTGTATGTCCTTATTTTCTGGTAATGCTTTAATATCACAATTATTTTTTAGGTTCTCTAATTCTATTTCTAATTTATTTAGTCTATTTTCTAACACTCGTACTCTACTAGATAAAATCTTTTCATCTGATTCTAATTCTATTTCTTTTCTCCATTTTTGTTTATTTGCTTTTATACATTCAGCACAAGCTTGTTTTAGACATATACTACAAGTCACTCTATTTTCTTGACTAGGGTAATATATGCAAAAAGCACATTTGATATTATAGTCACCCTTTCCTCTAATCCAATCATGTTCACAATTTAATTGATCCATCATTTCAACCTTTAGACCTGCTAATTCGTCAATTAAATCTAACTCTTCATCGGATGATTCATATTCTTCGTTGATAGTTTCAACTTCGTCTGTTTCTATGATAGAATATATTGACTCGTCATCTTTTATTTCATCATCACATACTAATATGTTTTCATTTACGCTATCTATAATTAGAACCCTCTCTTGTTCTTCATATTTACTAGAATATCTCTTTTGATCTTTATTTGGGCATGTTCTACTTAAATGATCTGGCGAGTTGCATATAAAACATCTGCATGTTTTGTCATAGGTTTTCTTTGGATTATATCTTCTTACATTTCTTTTATGTAAGAATGGTGCTCTATTATCTGATCTTCTTAAGAAATACCTTTTCTTTGTTCTAATATTATTATGGTTTCTATTTTGATGTTTATAAATCCTTTTACTTCTAGGCTTGTCTTCTCCATATGACAAGGGTATTTGAACTATTTTATTGCAGAAATTGTAATCCGAGTGTTTCATAGATCTTTGGGCTTGGATACCCGTGCATATTTTTCTTAGTTGCTTAAACACAAAAGTTATGGCTTGAGAGATATTGATTTCAGCTCCTTCAGTTTCCTTTTTATATTCTTCAAATATCATACTTCCTAGTGGGTCAGGTAATTTATTGAAGTAACGTTCAACTATTCCCCTGTTATATCCTTGTTTAGCAGTTGTAGCATTATATAAATAATGTTGGGAGAATTCTTTTATGCCTTTCCAACTTGTTAACGTTAATTTTTCTATTTCTTTTAACCTTTCATTTTGCAAAGTTGTATAACCTAATTCCGGATCTTCAGCTATAATAATGTTAGATATAACATTTGCAAAATTATGCGGATTGCTACCAGCTCTTTTCAATTCTTCATAATTATTAGGATTCTTTTCAACCCATTGTTCCCATAGAACCTTAGCAGATTCACCTAAAAATGTTTCTAAGTAGGTTATCATATCTTCAACTTTACTTCCTATATTGTGCTGGTTTTGTATATATTTTTGAACTATTAAACCTTTCCAAATACTAATAATATATAGGCCAGTCTATGGGATCATGTGCTGCTAGATTTAGTATAGCCCCATCACTTTTTTGATTTTGAAATTTTATTGGTTTCTCAAAATCTCTTCTTTTAGTGCCCATGTGCCTATACTGTCCTGGGATATAATGATATGAATATTCTTCTTTTTCTGGAGGCCATCTTCCTGCTGCCCTGGCTGGTCTTTCTCTTTCTCCTTCATTTTTTACAGAACCCTCTCCGTATCTTTTCCTTTTTCCTGTTCCCAAATCTACTTCCATAGCTTCCATTGCATTATCTAGATTATGCAAACCTTCCTCATCCAATGAGTCTATAAAATCATTATATTGTTCTGCATTATCTTCTTCTTCTATATTCTCTATTTCCTCTATCAGGTTATTTTCTTCTTCATAACTCTCTAGTAATAATTTCTCATTTACTTCCCATTGCTCTTCCTCACTTAATACCTTATCTAACTTTTGGATTTCTTCTCTTGGTTCTTCTGACTTTATTTGTTCTATTTTAATTTCCTGGGTTCTGGGGGTTTCTATGGCCAAGCTTTTCTCTTTTTTTTGTTTCTTAATCCTGGATAGTTCTCTATAGAAATAAAGTTTCTTGTCTCTAATTTTAGGCCACTCACTTTTCATAGAGTTATTATATTCATCTGCTATATCTCTTAATTTATCTTCATAATATTTTATTTCACTTTCATGGTCTAATTTTTCCATCAATTCAGATATACTATGTCTTCTGTTATCTATAATATCTCTGTCAGATGATTCTGCATCCAAATCATCCGAAGCTCTGGTTTTATAATTTGTAAATCTAATACTAACATTCCCTTTGCTGTCTTGGTAACTTATGAAGTTTTCAGGCTGACTCAAGGTTTTATTTTTTATAAATTCACTAATTGGCCATTTTTCTCCTGCTCTTTCTTCAGAGTCTATTATTAAAGGGCTCATGAATTTTATTCCTTTAGAATGCATTTTTTCTATCACATCATTTACATTGATTTTGTATTTGGAGGCACTTCTATTAGTCAATCTTCCTATAAATTCTATACTTATTAATAAATTTGTTCCCTTAAACTCTTCGTATCCTTTTGTTTGGAAACCAAAACTCATTTTATCTATGAATTCATTTACAGGCATCATTAAATCAGGCGCTATATAGGTTATCAACATATTTCCATTCATATCTCCTTCTAGATAGCCTAAAGATGCTTTGTTTATTGTGTCCCATCTTTTATCTAATAAGGTTATTAGCACTTTAGCTCCTAATTTCTTTCTTGTCATTCCTTTGATTCCTATTATGTACATACCTTGGTGAATATACTTATATCCTGAATATTTTAAACTATTTTCAAATTCTTTAGCTACTATTTTTAATTCTACTGGCTTTGTTAGAACACTTAATTCTACTTCTCTAGATATTCTATAAAGCCCATTCTTATTCTCAAAAAATCCCATGCAGTATACTTGTTGAGGCCTTATTGCCCTTAAAGTATCTCGTTGATATCTTTCGAGCTGCTTATCTACTTGTGCAACATCTTTCAGCTCATCTATGTCATCATATTTGCCTTTTTGTTTATCAGAACAGTTATCATCTCTGCTTGCTATTCTTCTAAAGAGACTCCTAGATATGTCCATTTTTCAGAATTAATGGCTTGTGAAGATGAGACTATGCCAGATGAAGCCAAAACTATTTCCTTACCTTTACTAGAGTTGATTTTGTCTAGTAATTCTTTAATATAATCACTATTCTGTGAAATTTTATTTTGCCTTATCTTATAATCTTCTAATAATTCTAATGTAGTATTTAGCTTATTATTAAGAAAAGAATATTGTTCTACAAATTGCTTTTGTTCTTTATATATATCTTCTAACTTTTGCTCTAAATCTTCTTGTCTCTTACTCCAATTTATATAGAAATTATATATTAAATCTACAATTAAATTTAGTTGGCTATTATTAGAGTGCCAACTATGTTCTTCAGTATGGCTTAGTCTACACCTTATGTTGATATTATCTTTGGTATTTATTAACTTTCCAATATTAGCTTCTAAATTTAGCTTCTCTATGATTACCAGGCTCTGATACCACTTTATAATTAATTCACAAATTAATTCATAACTATTCACTACTATTTTTAGTGCTGAATTCACTTATTATGAGTACAGAATTACTTCAATAAACTTCAATAAATACTCGGAGATAATAAATACCTATTCTGTACCCCCTCCCGCGCCAAACCACCGCGCCACCCCACCATCCACCGAACCGGTGCCACCCCACCATCCACCGAACCGGCCCCACCACCCAGCGGTTTTTTCCCCACCACCCAAAAAATCAGGATTCCTCATCCTCCTCCGCCTCCTCCGTATCCACGCGCCGCCGCCTCCATCCTTTCCACGTGCCGCTGCCCTCGGCTCCGTCCTCAACCGACGGTGGCCGACGGCGGTCCGGTGCGCCTCCTCCCCCGCCTCTCCTGCCTCCTCCGCCCCTCTCAGTGCCTCCCCCGACCCCCTTCCCCCCGCGCCTCCTCTAGGGCTTGCGTCAACAGGGAGGGGCGTGAGAGGCCGGCAACAGGGATACTGGCGACGGCGGCCAACGGTGGATTGGCTGCGGCGCCTCCCGCCGGACCCCGTCCTCCCCTCTCAGCGCCTCCCGCCATCCCCCTTCCCCTCTTCTAGGGTTTTGGGGCAGCGGCAGGGGCAAGGGCAGCCGGCAGGGCTGCAGCTGAAGGCGCGGTAGCGGCTGGTGGTTCGGAGCACGGCGTGGGCGTCTTCCCTGCTAGCTGGACAGGTTTCTAACCCATCTTTTTTTTTCTGTTAACTGAAATGCTACTTGTGCTAAGTATAGTTCAGAAATCCTTCCTAGGAATGTATTTTGATAATGCTAAAGTGAAACATGAGACAGATTCTTGCTGCTATATTCTTAGTCAGACCAAACATGTCAATGTGTTATGCTTGATTGGTTATTGAATTAAAAAAAAGTTGAACGTTCATGTGTACAGATATATATGTGTTATAGTATTTAAGTTCTCTCAGAATTTTAATGTGTACAGCATCTAATTATGTTTGCTTCAAATTTTCAGTTATCAATTCTTGGAAAGTTGGATTGCCTTTTTGTCTGTTTAATAGTCCCAATGAGTGAACATAATATTGTCTCGAGGCATTCTTTGAAAAGTACAGCCGGGTTTTTTTTTATCTCCATCACAAATTCACAATGCTTCAAGCTTTGCAGGATAGATGCTCATTTTGCTTCTGTCATCCTCTAGCAGTGATAATTGATAATGCTAAAGTTAAAAACACAGATTGTATACTACAATTTTTTTCTTATACCTTTTGATTTGTGTCACAGTGGCGTTTATTAGGAGGAACCTGTGAGCAACTTTTGTATCAAGTCTACTTCTCGTGAGAAGAGGGTCGACAATGAAATGTCAGTCTTTTATGCAGTAATCGTGCTTTATATGACAGTAATATATTTTTATAGACATGCATGGTTTCCGATACACATTAAATGTTTTTTCTGTTAGTGCACGGTGCCTGATTTTATGTTTTCTTAGTAAGATGGTTACTCAGTTTACAGTTACATGTCTTTGTCCCTGCAGTAACACAAACCTTACTTTGCAGTAACATATTTTATTTTTTGCAGTAACTCATCTATGTGCTTTATCCTTTTTTCATGCAGTGGGTTCAGTTGTTAAAGACGGCAAGGCCTAGAAAGTTGCAAAGGTTGTATACAGAGATGGTGATCATAACTTGGAGGTATCTTTTGACCCAACTCAAACCCAACCTAGTGTACCGGCAACGGGAGGGGTAGAAGAGGGTGAGCCAGTAGCAGCAGCGATGGGAGGGGGAGGGGGAGGGGAGAGTGAGGTAGCGACAGTGGCGACTGGAGGGCAAGAGGAGAGGCAACCACCGCCAGTAGTGAAGGCTCAAAACAAATCACAGCTTCCTATGCGTCAGAAGAGGAAGAAAGTTTTTACAAGAGTAAGAGTCCAAGATCAAGAAGAAGACAATGACTTTATGGAACCAGCTTGTCAGGTGCCTATAAGTTTTCTTTTTTTTCAGCCTATGATTTGTTTTTCCCCAACAACTATGACATATTTTTGCTAAATGTTTGTTTTACTTACTTTTTCCTGTTACAGGTTAAGAGTAAGGTAGCTGAGAAAGCAACACAAGATCATACAAAGCATAAGCTTAGTGAGCAGGAACCAGAGGATGAAGTGGAAGAGGAAGATGAGGATGAATATGAAGATGATGTTGAGGATGAAGATGAAGAAGTAGAAGAGGATGACGACAATGATTTCATGGAACCAGCCCTCAAGGTACATGCAAGTTTCTTTTTCCTTTTTAGTAGCACATCATGTTTTTTCTTTCTTTGCATGACATGCACATCATGTTAACTTTGTTTTTCTCTTATCCTTTTGCCATAGGTCAAGCGGAAGGTTCCTCAGAATAGGAAGACAGAAGCAATGCAAGGTTCTAAAAAGAAGGTTGCTTCAAAGCAAAAGTTGACTAAGGATGTGCCGGTCAGGAAGCGTGATCATTTCTCTGTGAACACCAGATGCCAGCCTAATGCCATCCTTGAAATGGTTGGTTCGTTGAACAAACCTCAGAGGGATAGATTGCATGCTTTGGGATTTGATTGGGTTTTCAAGTTTCGGATGAATGGCCTTCGATCTAGGGAACTCATTGAATATCTAATAGATTGTCTTGACCCTGATTCTATGTGCCTTGATCTTGGTGGTCGTGGGAAGTTACCAGTGACACCTGATGTTGTGCACTGTGTGTTGGGGCTGCAGAATGGCCACTTGGATCCACCAGTAGTGTCTGACACTACTCCATTGGATCCTATCAGGGAAGAATTAGGTCTTGGAAAAAAGGAGAAAATATCTAGTTCATCCATTCTGGATAGGATTAAGATGGGGGGCACTGACGATTTCACAATGCAGTGCATTCTGATGATCTTGTTTAGCAAGTTGCTGGCCCCAGACTCTAGCACCGACATCACAGGGAATATAGTCAACATGGTGAGCAAAAACTTGGAGCAGTACAAAGACATGGCCCTCTACAAGTTTGTTGTTGATCATTTGAGATGGTCAGCTGAGAAGTGGAAAAGTGGCAAGAGGAGTACAGTCTACGGCTGCACAGCTTTACTTGTGGTAATTCTCATCATCTTTTGTTTGCATCTTCAATGTTTATTTATTTGCAGTATCACATCTGTTAGTTTGCAGTAACATCCACCTTTATTTGCAGTAACACATCTATTCAGCTTGCAGTAACAGTGTAGTAATGCTTTTAGATATGTTCTGCAGTAACAGTTAGTTTACTTTGTAGTAACATCCACCTTTATTTGCAGTATCACATCTATTAGCCAACAGTAACAGTGTAGTAATACTTTAGATATGCTTTTTTTTTCATTTTGTAGGTGTATTACCTTGACAACCTTCTTTGCAAGGCCATGATCTCAAACACCAATACACCACGCTCACAATTTTTCAACTCCAGTCTTATTGACAAAATTGAGAATCTCACAAAATCAACAAAGAAGGATGGCTCTACCTCTTTTGGGAAATTAAATGTAAGTTTGTTTTTTCCCCACTCTCTCTTTCTTTTTTTGGTTGGATAGTGGTTGGTTGTGGCACTAACCCTTTTTTTATCTATACTTCTCATGCAGCTGAGGTGTAGGGAAAGCACTTGCTACTTTGTTTCAAAGGAGAAGGTGAAGAGAAAGGTTGGAGCTGCTAGTGGGAGTACTAGAAAGAGGAAACACATTGATGAATTAGCAGCTCAAGAAGCAACTGTAGCAAGATCCAAAGAAGCGCCTCGTTTTGGTGGTGACTTCCCAAGTCTTCGTAGTAAGCTAGGACCACTTATTGAGTCACTTGGGAGTACCCGCAAGCAAATTGGGTTGGATGCTCTTGAGCAATATGACAAGGAGGTCGAGCAGATTATGGGTAACCTACACAAGGCTCAAGACCGCCTAGTGGATGTTCTAACTTCGCTTTGCTCGACAAGTGATCCTAAGATAGCTTACACACGGAAAAGCAAAAAGAGAAGAGATGGCCTCCCCCCTCTAGATTCTAATGCAGTAACCGACAAAACATCTGGCAGTAAGTTCTCATCCTAGTGCAGTAACATGTCTTTTTTTTTGTAATCAAATCTTTTTTTCATTCATGTGGTTTTACTTTTTCAGGTGGCAATGAGAACACAACCCAAGCTTCTATCGGCACACCTCCCACTCAGGCCAATGATGTTTTAGGAGATGAGCAAAGTAGAGGCAATGTGGAGAGCTCTCCCCCAATGCATGTCGAGGACCCAAAAGATGCAGAAGCTGGACAACCTTGCGAGCCAGCAAAAGATGCACATAATGACAGTAAGATTCTTCTTTCTTTGTATTAACTTTCTTTCTTTGTTGATATCTTTTGCCATTGCCCCTCTGTGAACAAGTAGCCTTTTTTTATAGATGATGCTGAGTTGTCTAACTTGGTGGACAAAATCTGTACAAATGTTGAAGGCTTAGTGGACAAAATATGTACACATGTTGAAAGTACTCCTATGCTGGCCATTGCCCCATCTCTTGCTGCGAACCTGTCGCCTGCGATCATGCCTATTGAGATGGAAAAGAGGAGGCCGTTGGCAAACCCCAAGTACATATCCCCTTTCAAGTGTGTTTCCATTGAACCACTATGGGATGACACTGGAGACATTGCCATGGAAGTGTACAAAATTGTATGGAACGGTCAACTCCCTGATGTTGAAAGGTGAACATCTTTGCCCTTCACTCCTCTTTTTTTTTTTTAATTTTCCTAAGTGAAATGCGCATGTGCATTGAATTTTTTTGTCAACACTACAGTAATAACGTACATACAGTAAAATATATCTAATTGTGCAGTAACATATAATGTATCATGCAGTAATATTACTTCTCTTTTGTCTTTGTTTTTGGTTGTACAATTTTTAGTGCGTATCTCATCGACCAAATGGAAGGCGCCATTGTATGGAAGGGCGATGAATTGAGGAATTGTTTTTCAGAGGGTGGAAAGTTGACAAATGATATAATGCTCTTCTGGTCAACATGTTTGATTTTTGATGATGCCAACTATCGGAAAGACAGCATTGGCTACAGAGTTATCATTCCCACCAGCGCCATTATATGCTAAAGATTATTTTCATGCATTTCTTTTTTTATCTGCATGGTCCTTTTGAAAATAGTTCTCTAGCTCAACCTTTTTTTTCTTCTTTTTTGTTAATGACAGGAAGTGCTGAATTCTGAAAACCACAATCTTACATTCTCATTTGATGCTGCCGTCAACATAATCTCTCGTGAATGCAAGAGTTTTAACCTACCTAATGCAAAACTGGTTAGTAAGATTGTCATGATGTGTGTTTAGTAAGATTGTCATGATGTGTGTTACTATATGTGTTGACATGCAGTACCAAATCATTTTTTTACTATGGGGTAGATATGTATTTGTGTTGCAGATTAATGTTTAATACTACCATTGAAGATGCATATCAACTCTGTAGTAACGTCATCATAGTTTTTGTAGACATAGTTAGTCTGTTACTGTACTTTTGCACTAGTGTTACTGCAATATAGTTACTCTGTTACTGTACTTTTGCACTAGTGTTACTGCATATGCTTCATATTTCTAATTTTTTTACTGCTTGACGATTGAAATGCTTCTTTTGCCAATTGGTCAGAGTTTTCTTCCAACGATTAACAATGACCATTGGACTATTTTCTGCTTCAACTTCAACCACAAACGAATCGATATACTTGATTCATTAGGACATGACAGAGACGAGAAAGCTCTAAAGGCTATGAAAGACAGAGTGGTACGCCCCATTTTTTTCCTTTTTGTTTTTTTTTGTCCTTTTTCTGGTTTTGTGTTCTCATCATTAGTTAGCATGGTATTTCCCTTGTTTTCAGTTGGGAGTAATATTCTGTAGTAACCATTCTCTTATTTTGTAGTAACATGCCTATTAGTTTGCAGTAATTGTTCTTAGCATGGGATTTTTCAGACTGTGTTTCTAAACTATAATCTTATTATCTTGTCTCTATTTCTACCCTGCTTTTTTCTGCTACAGGTTGGTAGGTTCCTTGATGTTCTTGATGTGATGTTCCCAAAGAAGTTCACAGATGTTAGGAAGTGGAAATGCTATCATGCTTGTAACCAAAAGCAAGTCTTGACAAATGATTGTGGCTTTTTAGCGATGAAATACATTCAGTTCTGGGATGGCAAAGTTTTTGTGAAGAAAGTTTGCCCTGTAAGTGCATGCACATTTGCATTTTTTTTATAACATTGCCTACTTGTGATTCATTCCATCATATTGTTTCTAATACAACAATTGCATGCCCCCCTCTATTGCAGAAGGATGGAACAAAATATCGTGCGGAGGTCCTCTATTACATACTCTTCCACCCACTGAACGAGGCGAAGCTCCCTGCGGCTATTGAGCGATATAGGCCTAAGATTAGGAAGATCTCCAAGTAGTTCAGCTCTGTTCTTTTTTCCAAGTTGTCTTTTGGAACTTTGTACCTAAATGATTGCAGTAACATACTTAGATGCTGGTAGTAACATAATTAGTTGGTGGCAGTAACAGGAGACTGTTAGGAACATTGCCACGTTTTTTAAGTAATGAAGGTGTACAGTGGCAGTAACGTACTTGGATGCTGGTAGTAAAAATACTTAGTTGGTGGCAGTAACAGGAGACTGTTAGGAACATTGCCACATTTTTGCAGTAACGAATTATATAGTGGCAGGAACATACCATATATTATAAGTCTTTTGTGTAATTCCCTGTTAACTCTGGGTTGTTTCACATGTCACAACATTTACATCATCTCTTGAATGTTTTGAACCATGTTTTCTATTCGGTTTGATAGCAGTAACGGTGCTAATTATTTGTAGTAACTCATATGTACAGTGACAGTAACACACCTGATTTTGTATTTATTGTTGGTACCACAAATGCAACAGTACGCCCGTGTTTATAATTACCAAAGTTGACAGGAAGACATAATGACATTGCAGCAATCTGCATTACGTCGTGTATCTATAGTTCACGACAGCAAAACAAGTTTATATTGTTCTTACTTTCCTGCTGTAACAGATTACTAAATTTACAGTAACATACATGTATCATGGTAGTAAACAAATAGGTAACATGTAATTTCAACTGGCATCATGACAAACCATTTAAAATATAGCAGTTCTAGAATCATGTCATATAGCAGTGATGCTCTGCCCTAACTGATGGGAGGATAACATTTTTTAGTAACCAATATGCTAAATGACAGTAACAGTTGGGCACTATGGCAGTAACATATTACAAATGTCCAAGTCAGCAGCCATGTACTATGACAGCCAAGTCAGTAGCCTCACTTACTCTTCTTCCTCTTCTTCCTCTTCTTCCTCACTTACTCTTCTACCTATTCTTCCTCGTCTTCCTCGTCTTCCTCGTCATAATCATCTCTTGCTTGGCGGGTGGTTGTTTTTTGTCTTTTGCTTCTACTAGGGCATGTCCTAGCATTGTGCCCTTCAATCTTGTGACATACACTACACCTCCTGCTGTGGTCTTTCCTCTGCTTGCTCTCTGTTTGTTTCGATACTAGTTTTTCTTTGTCTTTCTTCCTTCCTTTTGTTGTTGAAATTGGTGGCGCCGTCAAAGGTGCTTGCACTGGATCTGTTTCCATCTCTCCAATATTATTTTCTTCATTATTCAATAATTGTTCACATGGAATTCCATCAATCTCAATATCCAACTCCTTAAATACCTCCATGGCTCTGTCGTAGCATTGCGTTGATTTTGATGCCTTTTTGGCAACTTTCGTAGCCTCATTTATCAACACTGTGTGGCGGTAAATCTCACTTGTGCTGTCAAGGCCAAATCTCCGATAGTCATGGTCATCAAAGACACCCCCTTCCTTGGCACTTCTTGTGTACCTCTTCAATATATATCTGGGCAGTATTTTTTCTACCTGGAGATGGCTGAGCACCCTCACAATATGTGGGCAGAAAAGACCTGCAGCAATATGGTACATAGAAGTTGCAGTAACAGAGAGTGGAAGTTGCAGTAACAGAGAGTGGAAGTTGCAGTAACAGGGAATATAATAGAAGTAACAGAGTATAACAGCAGTAACAGAGAGTGCAATTTGCAGTAACTGAGAGTGGAAGTTGCAGTAACAGAGTATAATAGCAGTAACAGTGAGTATAACAATAGTAACAGAGAGTATAGCAGCAGTAACAGAGAGTATAGCAACAGTAACAGGACTAAACATTTGAAGTAACAAATCGAGACCTAGCAACACACCTGTGTGTATCCACGTTTTGCACTCGCATTCATACAGCCCAGACTCCACATCAGCAGTAACTTGGAAAGCGTGTTGCGACCACGGGTTCTTTCGAATTGTCTTACCATGGGTCACCACGTAGGCTCCCATGGCGTTGGAAACCTCATTCACAAGAAACGCCGTGCTATCGAACAGTGTTTCCTTGAATAAGGTGAAGACCGCCCTTGTGTACAATTTGCTCAGTTGTTCCTCGAACGCATATCTTGTGCTCAACACGGGCTCACACTGCAGTTGCAGTAACAAGCATTGTTTATTGCAGTGAAGAGACAATTCTGGCAGTAACAGTAACAAATAGACCACACAACAGTAACATGCAGTACAACAGGCGGTAAAATATTGATGGAAATGCAGTAACAGTGAGTATAACAATAGTAACAGAGAGTATAGCAGCAGTAACAGAGAGTATAGCAACAGTAACAGGACTAAACATTTGAAGTAACAAATCTAGACCTAGCAACACACCTGTGTGTATCCACGTTTTGCACTCGCATTCATACAGCCCAGACTCCACATCAGCAGTAACTTGGAAAGCGTGTTGCGACCACGGGTTCTTTCGAATTGTCTTACCATGGGTCACCACGTAGGCTCCCATGGCGTTGGAAACCTCATTGACAAGAAACGCCGTGCTATCGAACAGTGTTTCCTTGAATAAGGTGAAGACCGCCCTTGTGTACAATTTGCTCAGTTGTTCCTCGAACGCATATCTTGTGCTCAACACGGGCTCACACTGCAGTTGCAGTAACAAGCATAGTTTATTGCAGTGAAGAGACAATTCTGGCAGTAACAGTAACAGATAGACCACACAACAGTAACATGCAGTATAACAGGCGGTAAAATAATGATGGAAATGCAGTAACAGAATAGTTGAAATGCTAGTTTATTGCAGTGGAGACAATTCTGGTAATAACAGTAACAGTAACAGATAGACCAGATAGCAGTAACATGCAGTATACCAGGCAGTAAAATAATGAAGGTAATGCAGTAACAGAATAGTTGAAATGCAATAACAAAATGGTGATTCCTACGGCAAATGCACTCTCAAACAAGCTCACATGCAGTCAATCAGATAGTAAAATAATAAAGGAAATACAGTGAGTACCTCTTGAGCATTAGTTTCTCAGTCCTCCTTTTGTTTCCTCATCTGGATGCATCTATTCATCTCAGCTGCAACTCTGTGGAGTGCAGTGAGCTCTTTGAGATAGCCTGTTTTAACCATATGGTTCACACTCTCGCTCCGTTGAGTGGATGTCATTCTTGCGTAGTAGATCTGTTTGAAGTAAGCAGGAATCCATTCGGCACGCAAGTTATAAAGGTTTTCCATCACCTCACAACCTTGAAGTTCAAACTCTTCAACAAGATCTTTCCATGCAGCCACAAATTCACTTGGTGTCAGCGGATGGTTGATCACAAAGTGCAGCTTCTCTTTGAAATTTCTATGCTTGAACATTTCATAGAGCACACCTAACTGTTTTTTGTACTTCTTTAGTACATGCCATCGGCAGAGCCTATGAATGGTGTTCTTTAGCACCTCCCTTATAGCTGATGCCATAGCTGGGTCCTCGTCTGCATTTATATTGGTAGAACAGTAGCCAAGTGTTAATTAGGCAGTAACATATAAACAAAAAAGAGGTAACAAAATGTAAGCAAGGTAGGCATCTGAGATATTTTTATAGTTCAACGCACCTGTGAGAATACACATGGGAGCTTTGCCCCCCATGCACTTCAGAAAAGTTTTAAACAACCACTCAAATGATTCAGCTCTTTCATCCCTAAGGAGAGCAACACTCAGAATCACACTTTGCATGTGGTGATTGCATCCAACGAACACCGCCAATGGCATGTTAAACATGTTCGTTCGGTATGTTGTGTCAAATGTGATGCAATCACCAAAATGGTGGTAGGCTGCCCTACTACTTGCATTGCACCAAAATATGTTCTGGATAGCATCTTTCTCATCAGCTTGGATATCAAAATAGAAGTTGTTGTTCTTGACTTTCATTTCTTTGAAAAACATTAGCAGCTTGTTTACATCATCTGAGTTCTCCTCCACCTTGTTCTCAGCCTTCTTGCAGTAACACGCTAACTAAAATTCAGTAACATGATGTATACTAACCAGTAACTCACAACACGGCAGTAAAAGGAAGCAACCATGTTTTAGCAGTTACATGTAAACTAAAATCCAGTAACAAGATGTATACTAACCAGTAACTCACAACACAGCAGTAAAAGGAAGCAACTATGTATTAGCAGTAACATGTTAACTAAAATCCAGTAACAACATTGCTACCCCGTGGAAGTAATGCACATCAACAATGCTAAAAACAAACAAGTATAGCAGCAGTAACATGCATTTGGGTAGTAAAATACAGCAGCAATGAAAATAGTCGAATAGTGCAGATTTATCAAATAAGACAGAAGGCCCAAATACCTATTCGCAAGGTCCTTGTTAGTGAAAGGAATGTTCTGGGGGCCACCATGCATTTTTGATAGTAAGGACATTATTGCACCGTGAGATACGTGGCATTCCTGAAGTTGTCTAACAAATTGCATGATTGATGGATCATAATTTTTGTGGGACTGTTGGAAAACCGCCATTGATGGGGAGACATACAGATGATGGGTGTGATCCAGTTGTGCTCTTGTGATTTCCCAAATGTCACCATCTTGCTTCACCCTTATCAATGCTTTGCACCCAACTCGTTTTGTTGTCTAGTTTCTTACCCTATTTACCTCCTCGCCTTTGTAAGTGTGATTGCCTTGGCGCGTGCAATGCAGAAAGCGTGCACGACGGGCATTGTCAAACTTGCCTTTCTTAATCCCAAAACCTGCATACCGTGCATATCTATTGTAAAAGCTGTAAGCAGCATCTTCTGATTCAAACATCGTGCCAATCAAAGGGACAACATCTTCAGGAATATCTTGGCCCTATAATTGAAGGAAAAAAGTACATAAAATTCATTATTTGTTATGCGTAGGACAATACTCATGGCAGAGTAGTAACACAACACAAAATATGCAGTAACATACTCACATGTGTGAATGTAAGGTTACTGTCAGGGGTGATGCATGCCTCTGGATTGATAGGGGGAGGTGGGGTGATAACTGTTCTGTGCAGTAAGGGATCTATGAAAGTTTGATGCAGTGATGGTGGTGGGGGGCTCACTGCTATTGGTAAGACATCAAGCACATCATCAATTGCTGGCGGCGAAGGGGGCGGTATGTCACCTCTGAGGTGCACACCCGAATAAGTAGATGTTGATGCCATCTTCTTTTGCACCCGCCTATCATATCGACATGCAATATCTTAGATAGCGGCAGTAATTTTCATACGCAATACGTACAGCAATGAGCAGTAAAAAAATACTTGCCATAACAGTAACAGATAGACCAGTCAGCAGTAACATGCAGGAAAACAGACAGTAAAATAATTAAAGAAATGCAGTAACAGAACAGTTGAAATACAGTAACAAAATGGTGATTCCGACGGCTTCAAGCTCTTTCGAACAAGCTCACATGTAGTAAATCAGACAGTAAAATAATACAGGAAATACAGTAACAAAACAGTAGAAAAGCAGTAACAAAAGCTTTCTTTTAAGACAAAACTCACATGCAGTAAACCGGACAGTAACAGGGAGGTCTATAGACAGTAACAACACAGTAACCACAGATTTTTCTGCATAAAGCTCGCATGCAGTAAACCAAACAGTAACATCGCGATCTATAAATAGTAAAAACGCTGTAACCAAATAATTCTATATGACAAAACTTGCATGCAGTAAACCAGACAGTAACATAGTGATCTATAGACAGTAACAACAAGATTTTTTTAGGGCAAAGCTCACCTCAAGGAAAAGGAAGGGATTCGTGGGCGGCGCCGAAAGGACGAGCTGAGAGGGATGCTTCGCCGGGGTTCCCCACGACGGCCCGGCGCACTGGAAGGTATGAGAGTTATTGGGAGAGATGGAGGAAAGGAGGGAGGCTGGTAGGGAAGGAGAGGGAGGGAGGGAAGCTGGGAGAGAGGAGAGGGAGGGGGACGGAGGGAGGAGAGGGATGGGGAACGAGGCCGGAGGGAGCCTCCGCGCGGCGGCGCCCGAGGTTGGCGCGTGACTCCCTCCTCTCGGCGGCAGATGCAGGAGTTTTTTCTCTCTTTTTTTTTTCTTTTTTCGTATTTCTTTTTGTTTCTCTCTATCTTTTCGCTATTTTTTTTGGTGGGCCGGTGGGGCGGCTGCGCGAGGGCGGATCGCTGGATGTTTAGGCGGGATGGCGGGATGGCGCCTGGGAGTGGGAGAGGGGGGGAGGGGGCGTATAGAATAGTTATTCTATACCCCAGGTGTAGAGTAGTCTCACCCTATACATATATATATATATACACACACACACACATATATATATATATACATACATATATATATATATACATACATATATATATACATATACATACATATATATATACATATACATATATATATATATATACATATACATCTATATACATACATATACATATATATACATACATATACATATATATACATATATACACATACGGTAGCGCTAGACAGCGCTAGACACAGGCGCTCCGCGCCAGGAAAGTACGTGGCGTGAGACACAGGGATAATCCCCCCCTCCCAGGGCAAGCAACCAACTGCGGAGTTAAAACTTAACTCGCGACAAACAGGGAGTGTTCCGCAGTCCCGGTGCTAGAACCGACTGCGGAGTTAAAACTTAAGTCGCGAGTCGCGACACACAAGGATTGTTCCCTACTCCCGGTGCCAACTTTCCATTGCGGAGTTAAAATTTAACTCGCGACACACAGGTAGAGTTCCCCACTCCTGGTGCGCACATACCGATTTAGGAGTTAAAACTTAACTTGCATGCAGTTGGTGCCTAGGTTACGATGCCTTACAGATTCAGTTAACATTGGTGATATGTTGATGCTGGTTCCTATGTTTGATCTGTTTACTCGTACACATTTTTGGCGTGGGATTCGATTGAAGATGTACTTCAGTTAAAATTTAACGCATAGGTCTTGTAGCATGCAAAGATTCGATAGATGTGTTTGTTTTTTTACCGCAATATAAAAACGGTGGCTCTATTTTATTTCATTATATCCAACCACAAATCTCGGGTATGTATTCATTAGAAACCCTTTTTCATATACATCATATGCTTGGTATCCTTATTGAGTAAAAAATTAACTTGGTATGACAACAAAATTTTGACTCAACATATACATCCTCATAATATATAGCATAAGTTAAATTTTTGTTGGTTCTTGCTCCAGACATCGACGGCGGCGTGTCATTAACGTGGCCGCCGCTGCTCCTCCATATCCATCAAAGTCCGAGTTCGCCGCCGCAGAGGTCACGCCGTGGGCGTGGGGGCGGAGCGGTGGCCTGATCCGCCGCCGCCTTGCCTCCTGCCCATAGTGACCTGTCACAGCCGCGCCCGCCGTCACCTGTGCAAGATCCACGCAGGATCTGCGCGCTTGGGGCGCGGAGTGGCGACCGGATGCGCCGCCTCCTCACCTCCCACCCGTAGTCGACCATCACCGCCGCGCCCGCAGCCGTGCTGTGCTGGAACCGCCGACGTCGCGCCCGCCCCCGATCAGCGATGGAGGTGGATCCGTCGCGCCTCCAGCCCGCTGTCACCCGTCGTCGCCGGGCCCACAACCGTGCTGTGCCGGATCCGCCGACGTCGCGCCCGCCACCGCTCGGCAGTAAAGGTGGAGACGTCGCGCCTCCTGCCCGCCAACGCTGCGCCCGCAGTTGCCCGTCGCCACCACGCTCATAGCCATGCCATGCCGGATCCACCTCCCGCCCGCCATGGATGCGACGCCATCATGCCTAGCCTGCCACTGCTATGGAAGACGATGGGAGAAGGGATGATGTTGCGGTTGCTTCTGGTCGTGGCGGCCGCCGGTGGTGATAGATCCGACGGCGTCCCTATCGACGACAACCATGCCGCCGTTGCTCCTCCCCACCAGGTCGCCCTGTCACCGGCCACCACTCGGGATGGCCTCTCTGCGCGGTAGCCACCGCCGTACCGTCGCCAGATCCATGTAAATCGGGATAAAAAAATGAAAGTGAGAAAAAGTAGGATCGGGATATGTGGTTGGTTACAAGATGGGGGAACAACACATGTATATATATGCTAAAAGTTGGGTAACATCAAGTTAAAAATTTACTAGAACTATGAGCATGGGGGAGGGGGCGCAGGGGTGGGGTACTATGAGTTAAATTTTAACTGCGTTATGTGGACGGGGGGGGGGGGGGAGGCAGGTTGCACGAGGGTGGTGGCACTGTGTGTCGCTCCACCTAGTTAGGTAGCGCCTATAGCGCTGTATAGTAGTTCTCTATACACATATATATACATATACATATATATATATATATATAGATGTATATATATATATATGTATATGTATATATATGTGTATGTATATGTATATATATGTGTGTATATATATATATATATATATATATATATGTATATATATGTGTATATATATATATATGTATATATATGTGTATATATATATATATGTATATATATGTATATACATATATATACACACACACATATATATACATATACATATATATATATATACACATATACACATATACATATATACCTAAATCTCCCCTCCCACCTCAGTCAAAGGCTGGTCAAACCTCCCTCCCGCCGGTCAAACCCAAGTCAAACCTACCCATTTACTCCCTCCCCCGGCCACCATTTTGCTGTCCTCATCTCACAGGAATTCTGTAGTAACAGAACGGTCATCGTGCAGTAACGACATCAAAAAATAGTCATGATGGATCTAGTTTTGTTAAGCACTTTTTTACGAACATTATGGTGCAGACGGATTAGAAAAATAATATATAACATGAGAGATATTTCTCTCTAAAGGTTAAGATTTACTTTTTCTTTTTTAGTTCTCGTCTCGCTGGAAATGCATAGTAACGCGACAGTCAATATGTAGTAACACGACTACTTTCCACAATAACAATGTTATAAAATAGTCATGATGGATCTAGTTTCGTTAAACATCTTGTCTCGATTATCGTATAGTAACAGGGCAATTGTATTATTGTTTAAAGATTAGAATTCTAAAAGTTTACTTGTACTAAGATTGTTACTATGTATCTTTGTATATAGAAAGAGAAGTACTTTTAGCACTTGTGTTCACTTGTGACCATGCACATGCTCCTTTTTAGCACTTGTAATTTGCACAATATTGAGATTTAAAAATTTAGCTATGCACAAGCAGTGGTACTGTAATAGTACAGTTACTAAGTATGTTCTCATTTACTGCAATTTCGTCATGATGTTACTGCAAAAGTGCACTAACGACCGATAAATTTTACAGTAACGACCTATAAATTTCGCAGTAACGTATCATGTTACTGCACTCCTACGATAATGTTACTACCGAATCGTAATAACAAGGTATGATTTATAACAAGGTATGATTTATACAGTAACATAATGGATTTGTGTTCACAAAATTTGAATAGATGTACATAGAAAACAAACAATGATCTCAAATCACAAAGTGTCATAGGGTAAATTGGTTAAGAGAGTTTGTTATGAACCATGAGATCATGGGTTCTAATCTTGAATTTATCAATTTATTTTTATTTTTTTCTAGAAAAGAGAAGAAGAATAAAAAATGGAGAGAGAGATCGGGATGGGGAGGAGGAGGAGCGATCGGGAGGGGAGGCGGGGCCGGGCGCCGGTGCTGCACGTGACCTCGAGGAGGCGGGGCCGGGCGTGATCCAGAGGGATAGGCTTTGGTAGTTGGGCTGAGAAGGAGGCGGGTGTAGAATAGAGCTGTCATATGTATATATATATATATATAGAGAGAGAGAGTATATACCCAATTCAAATGAGTATGAAATTGTTTTTTAAATAGTTAGGTATGAACATTAACTTCTTTACAAACTAGTTCAAACAAGTTTGAGCTAAATTTAAACATGTTTAGGTATATACCATCCAAACATATAATTAGTTAGGTATGTAATACTCCTATATGGATTGTGAAATAAAGTTGAATTTGAGTTGTTTTTGTTGTTAGGTATAGGTATGAATCAAATTCTTATACCTAGGTATATACTCACAATTTGAACATTTTGAAAAATTCGAGTTAAACTGTGTATTTCATATTATATGTATGTATGTATGTATGTATGAATGTATGTATTTGAATTTATATATACATGTATTTATACATATATATGCATAAATATAAAAAAGCAGCAAGCAATAAAAATCATTAAAAAACATTTTTAGTACCGATTAGTAACGCCAATCAGTAGGTCACGTGGTCCTACGGTACTAAAGATGTTTTTTTAAGTCCCGCTTTGTATAATCAAGACTATAAATATTCATATTTATTCATGCATTTTGCGTCCCCATTGCACAAACGGGACTAAAATGGGCTGTCAACCGGGACTAAAGTGTATTTCCCCAGCAAAATACTCTTCTAGTAAACAATAAATGCATATTTTTTGGTTATCTAAGCCATGAACTTTTTTGTGATTTGTGAATAATACCACACACAATAAACCCATATGAATATAATAGTCTCCTACATCAAATTCTACGCTTCTAACAGTATACTCGAGAAATTTATATGTTCCTTCAATGACTAAGTATGTGTTCTTCTCATCCATTGGAGGGAGCTGGTTCCTCACTTGTTATGAGCTTCTAAACTGCTAAACGGTGCGTCTCGTGAAAAAGTTGTTTATATAGAAGTTTCTTAAAATTTTCAAATAATTTATTTTCAAATTAGTAATAGTTAATTTTTGATTAATCATGAGTTAATCATCACTCTCGTTTCATGTTTCTTGTGCACCCGTTCAGCTCCGCTGAACAGTTCGAACCACATCCTAATAAGGGCAAAATGCACCTATCTTGCAGCTATTTAACGCTCAACCAACGATCAATTGACATAATAATAAGTATAAAAGGGATAAAAATCAAAATTCAGTGCTATACCATGGAATAAGTAAAACTCGAGGATATACAAGGATTGGCTAAATTTGAAAGGGGCAGATAAAAAATTTTCTCAAGAAAACACGCTTCCCTGTGCCCAACTGCCGAGCTCTATTTAGGCAGCATTGTCTCGGCTATGTGCAAATTATTCCATAATCGTGAGCCAAGTTTGACAGAGATATGTAGTACAATTCAAAGCAAGCTTGTGCTC